GTTGTAAAGTTGTAAAACTCAGTTGTTTCAGATATAGCTAATGATTTAACTCTGAGGCTCCCCTCCTCCCAATTGAATGGCAGTATCACTTTTAGTGATCTGACAGTCATTTTCTTAGACAAATCAGTATTCTTTCCTTGGCAACAATAGTTTTCTTAGAAACAGTCAATTGCAATATTATTCTAACGAATTGTTTCATTGGACTGTTTTACTGATAAATTTGTGTTCAGGAATGTCTGTAGAGATTCTCAGTCATCCAGGTCATAGTTGTCCCAAAGGTGCTTTTTTCAAGAGACAACTGGACTTTCGTGTTTTTCTTTGAAGACATTTCACCTCATCCAAAAAGCTTCTTCAGCTTTGACTGGATCATGGGGAATGGAATGATTTATATTCCTTGCAGACAGCCGGTCATTTACATTCTTTTAGAGGGTCATTGAGGCCACTTGGAGGTTTTCCTGTGTCCTCAGGGTCATCTGAGTGGTGCAAATGGTTCCTGTAGTCTGCAATTTTTCTTGAAATCTGATGTGGGAGTATGAACAGGTTTCCAGAAAAATTGCAGACTACAGGAATCATTTGCACCACTCAGGTAACCCTGAAGATACAGGCAAACCTCCAAGAATGCAAATGACCAGCTGTCTCCAAGAAATATAAATCCTTCCATTCCTCACTATCCTGTCAGAGCCGAAGAAGCTTCTTGGATAAGCAGTGGTGGGTTATGACCGGAATGCCCCAGTACGGGTGTACTGGTGCCTGCCCGGAGCACCGGGTACCATTCCTGTACAGTGCTCTGGAGGGCCTGCCCGCCCGCCCACCCACCCATCTATGCTTACTGATATTTGAACTTTGGGGTTTCTGCACATGCGCATGAAGCATATGGCACCTGTGTGACACTCCACCAAGCAGCTGGAGCATCGTGGAACATTACAGACGATAAGCTTGCATGCTGCGTGCGTTCATATGGTCTACACGGAATCCCCCACTGATGAGAAGTGAAATGTCTTCAAATAGAAACAAGAAAATCCAGTTGCCTCCTCCAAAAGCACTGTTGAGGTCAGTATTTTCTACATCAGGTTTTGGACAGCAAGAGGGGAAAATAATTATTTAGTTAATTAAATATAAATAATTGTTGAGGACATCTGACTCCAAAATGGCTCTGGGTAGATTTAAAGGAAGGGGAGACTGAGCCGACATATTTCCCGGTTGGTATGTTGCCTACATTTATGACAAAAAATGGTGGGTGGACGTCATGGAAATTTTGATCGAACAAAATGATGCGTTGGTAACATGCTTCCGCAAGGGCCTGCTCATTTGTTTTATTGGCGTGAAAGACAAGATGTTTGTTGGGTTCCAGAACCACATTTTGTTTGCATGCTTCCAGCGCCTTCAGTTACATTGTCAGGTCAACAATATCAATTCCCAGAAGCAATGCTAAAGAATGTGGCACATAAATTCAATAATAAATGATTGTTGGAATTTGGCAGTTCATACAAACAGTACGGACTTCGGCTTGGGAACCATATAAGATACCCACACAAGGCTTTGGAACCTCGAGGAAGAAACCAAAGTACAGGCTTGGGATCCTGAACCAAGAAACTCACCTGTGGCCAGTATTGGATGGCTATCAGATGTGCCCCCTATGGCGATGGGGTTGCTGGGTCAAGTGCCTGAACTGGTAGTGACAATGTCACCATGGACCAATGCAATATAATAGTAGTAATGATGTCAATATAAAACAACCAAGACGAAACAATAGAATGAATGTGACATTGCCATAAAACCTCCTCAACTTTGTCCCTATATTTAGGACTTTATACGTCAGCAATGAAACACCAATCCTACTTTTTTAGGGCAGTTGAAACCCTATCTTTGGCAACCTTTTTTTGAACCACAGTCATTTTCGGCCAACTTTGCTCCAATTTATCTAGATGGAGATCACTCAGGAGAATATTTTTCTTATTTTGTTTAATAGAGCACAACAGGTTGTACAAGATGGCCGAGTTTTGTTTCTCTTAACAAAATATTGCTGGAGATGTTATGTCTCAAAGTTGCTGAAACTTCAGAGTCATATTGTAGAAGGCTGCAATATGGGGTCAAATGACTATATCTCCGCAAGTATTGCATCGGCAAATGTAACACTTTACCAATGTTCATTGGGGACATGTGTTCACACCAAATTTCATTGAAATCTGTGACGGTCGAGCAGGGCACTTTTCTGAAATCAGACTTCACATGGAATGACCCGCAAGCGTGTGCATGCACACACTCACGCAGCTCCATCTGCACAAGTGGCATGCACATAGGCCTGCCAATCCCGCAAATGAAGCACACTTGGCCACGGCTCGCACAACCATTGCCAGCCAGCCGTTTCCACGCCCCGGCTGCAATCCCCTCATGGCCCACTAGTGGGCGGTGGCCCACAAGTAGGGGACCCCTGACCTAAATGAATGGAATTTCAATGGTGCCAATATTGAAGGTGATTTGAGGGCAGCTTCACATCAGCTGACTGAAAAGAAGGTGCTCAGCTGTTCTTCTCCACAATGGAGGGGGAAAGGCTGTGCAGTAGGACATCTCTGTGCAGTGAGGTTTTCCAGATGCAGTCAAGTTCCCCCCAAAAATTGCTGATTCAGGCTAAGAAATTGTTTATTGAAAGCTGACAAATATCCATAATAGCCATTTCAATATCCATGCTACAACTTGGATGCTCTCAATAATATAAAAATGTATTTTTCAAACATTGTTGGAATCAAATACTGAAAAATAGTACAATGGTGTTAAGGCACTTGGAAAGTCATTGAATACAGGAAACCTTTGTAAGAGACAATTGAACAGCCGAGTTACAGTAGTAGCTACTTCAAGAAATATCTTTTTATGGAGCTTCCACAGCCCTTATTACACCCTGCCCAAAATAAACCAATGCAAACCAAACCCAGGATGGAGTCTCCTTCCTGTGGAGAACCTGAGCCTTAGCACTAAACCCAAGCAGGGGAGAGAGAAGAGGGAGAACTATTCAAATGGCACCAACTCTCACCTGAAGAAAACCAGCTATTACAGTCTCTGCTTATTTTGGGATTCGTTCTTTCCTCTCCAAAATGTCTTGAAAGTTAAAAACAAAAGTCCATTGAATAGTATGTCTCCGTTGCCATAGTTAGACAGATTAGCATGTCTAATATCTAGTCAGGATTCAGAATGAGAAATGTTTCAATTTAACTGGGTTCTTTCCACATCATCTACTTTTCCTTTGATTTTGGTACAAATGCCAGGATTATATACATAGCACCTACACAAGAGATAAAGAGGAGATTCTGGTTTTGTGTTTCTTCCTCCCAATTTCTCAATCGTGAAAATAATTTGAAGAATGCCAGTGATCTCTTTTGGGGACATAGTGGAGGACTGGATATTAAGTTCAACCCACCACAGGCAATGTCCATGTCCAAAGCTGAAAAGGTGACTGTGTTTGGTAAAGATCAGCACAACAATAATAGAACTCAACTGCAGAGCTCAATCTACATGGTGGTGTAGATCTCAACACTGTCCACGTTTGATGGAAGGGCAGCATAGAATTCTAGGAGGTTCAGTTCAGCAGCAGGAGACCAAGGAAATGGAAACGGTCTCACAAATGGCAACAGCATTCATTTCTCTTCAAAGAAAAGACCGAAGAAGGCCACTTCATTAAATGCTTAGCAGGTTCAACCATTATTTCCCACCCTATATGTTTATCTGTTGGTTCTACTCTTTAGGCGAAAGCAAATCGCCTATTGCACAGAACCAAAACACCAAAATCAGACTCGCTACCCATATCAAGAGATAACATGCTCAGGTCTTGCAAGACTAAGAAATCTTGCTGAGAAATAAAATCCCTGCAGGTGCTAGAAAAACGGCCACAATGGGAGCTTACCTATGAAAGGACCATCCTTGCCTGAAAAAGCCCATCAACCCAGGTGAGCCACTTCTGAAGCTCTTGCAGCATGCAGAACTGCGAACCGAAAACCCCTGTATACATGCAAGGCATAAAGAGGTGCGCCGAGTTTAAACTTTTGGAACTTTTTTTGCCTTTTTTAGGCTCCCTTGTTCTTAAGACAAGAAAGTGGCCCTTTGGCCTTGGGAAAATGGGAACGGGTAATGTGCTGTAATATGCATCCTGACGTTTAGAGCAAAGGGTTTATCTTGTCAAGGCACCAGGGATCTTTGGTTAGGTGTGCAAGGATTTCGTTCGTTTTAAAGAGAGGTAGCACGATCTGGATCTTGGACACCAGTGCTCCACTTTGGCGAATCACAATACAGCAACATTCTTAATTCATCAGAAAGCTGAAAGGAAAGAAATATATGTGTGTGTATATATATATATATATATAATATTTATCTGTCTGGGTGCACCCGGTTCATTATCTAATTTTTAAAAAGCGATTCCTTCCTAATGCTAATGACACAAAGCAAAAACAAATATATTTTGCAACATTCATCCTTTCAAGAAACCCTGGAAAGGATGATAAAAACACACCAAATGAAAAGATGCTAGACAATACAAAGCAGGGAGCAGGAAATTCAACATGGTGAGTGGGGCTCTCTATCTATATTAAGAACTTAGGATAATCCAAACTATGCCCACATTGGGTGTGCCATAAACTCTGGAGTTGGCAGGTGCATTTCATAATTCTACTAATAATCTATTTCTTGGAGCAGAGTAATTTAAAAGATAGAAAACACACATACCTGTATGGATAGCCATGGTATTTGGATCTAAATACCGAGAGCAGCCAGCTGAAGAACACAACCACAAGGCCAATGCCAGCCATGCACATTACTATGGAAGAGGAAAAAAGTCTATTCATGTTACCCGAAAGCTCACATCGTGAGACTGAACTGTAAAGGGGAGGGCTCAGCAAAGCATTGGAAAGGGGAGGGAGCGTTTTGCAAAATGGGAATGCCGCCACTGCCTCCATGCATTTACATAACAAACAACTTCCTGCGGACCCCACAGGATGCAGCAGCTCCAGCAGCAGCAGGAGAGGTACCCCAAAGGCCTGCCAAGGTAACCCTTCTAACGACTGGCACCACTTGGTTCAGCAGTGCTCTGGGAAGGCAAGTCTGCAAGAAAAACTTCAGGAAGACTAAAAAAGAGCCCCGCAACCCTTTAACTGAAAGGAATGGCGGACATATTTTCTGCTGGCAATTGACTTAATCCTAAGAAATGCTGAGCAACTGTTTAAACCCTCCCTCTCTTCCCCACCTGTGAAAGCATTTTGCTGTCAGTTCTGATACTTACTTTTTCTCTTCCCCACTTCCAAGTCAGACGTAGCAGCTTCATAAAGAAGCACAATCCCCAGAGTGACACCTGCATCTGGGAGAAGGCAGGTTAAGGCCACAGCCATAGACAGAACGAAGCCTTTCATCTTTGAGAGAGATCCCATCTTACCTAATTATTGCAATTTCTACACTTTTACAGGGATGGTTAACAAAACATCTGCCCAAAGTTTAGCGTGTCATTTGAACATAACATAGAATGGTAATTCCAACTAGGGAGCAGAGTTATGTTTACAGATATTCCTTACTTAGCGACCATAACTGGGACTGGCTACTCAATCACTAAACACCACAGTTGTTAAGTGGAATATCATATGGATGTTAAGTGAATCACAATTATTAAGTAAGAGGGGTCTGTAGATTCGTCCTAATAATCTCCTGCCAAGATTGGTAGGAATAAATCTGCAGCACACTCCCCCTCGGCCCAACGCAGGCCATTTTCTAAATGGTAAAATCATCATACAGCAGCATGTGGCTGGAAAAACACTATTTCTGATTGTACTTTTCCATATTCTGTTTATTCTCAAGGATACTAAACAGTAAAACGATATGCGTTTCAGCAACAAATTGTGCTTGGCTGCTTCCATGGATGTAGTTCTGGAAAATAAAGAGATCAAACAAATGAAATTACTTCAGTGGGACAAACAAAGCTCAGAACCTGTATTTGCTTGTGAGCAGAAAATCATCCCCTCCCCCCCAATCCGTTCTTTACAAAATGAAGTTGAGCTCAGAACAATTTGATGGCAAGTTCTGGCAATTAGTAATAGCACTTAGACATATATACTGCTTCATAGTGCTTTTACAGCCCTCTCCTGAGTCAACCTTGAGCCGGTGAGATTTGAACTGCCAAACTCCAGCTAACAGTCAGCTGAAGTAGCTTACAGTGGTGCATTCTAACCACTGCATCACCTCAGCTCTCAGCATTAATGCTCTCAGCAGCACTACCCCTCCCCCACTACCTCCCACTGAACTTGGAAATTGCCCAGTAGAGGAGCCAAGGAAAATGATCAAGGAAAAATGAACTCACCATTTGACCTGTGTGAGGATTCTTATGAGCGTATGGTGGCCCTCTGATGTGATTCCACATCTGTCCTGATGTCATAGCCAGAACAAAGCACTAAAAAACCAGAGACTGAATCAGCTGCCATGCGTGTGCCACCAGCAAATCTACTACAGCAACGTGGCCTATATATTAACTAACCTCAAACAGGGCTTTTTTTCACACTTTCAGTTATTTCCAACATTTATTCTTACGTTGACCTCAAAACAGCATTTACAAACTATTCAACTGTTAATTACCCAATGGTATGATTTAATCAGGTATAATTTATATCAGGCCCCGGTACGGGCGTACCGGAGCCTGCCCAAAGCACCAGATACCATTCCGGTACGGTGCTCCAGAGGGTCCACCCACCTGCCCGAGCTCCTTACCAGTCTTAAGTCTTTGGCGCTTCCACCCATGCGCATGGCACATACAGCACCTGCGTGACACTCTGCTGAGCAGCTAGAGCATCGCGGAGGCTCACGGAGGTACTAAGATGCATGTACCCGCTGCGCGTGTGTGCATGCGTGCGTCCATGTAGAGGCTGTCGGGCCCGTTGGAACGGGATCCGGAACCCACCACTGATTTATGTCCTATCAATAATCAATTTATTCTCAAAGAAACCAAAGAGATCTAAAATGTTGGTTTCAGAGCTGCCCGTTTCCTGAAAAAAATAACTCCTAAATAGGAATACAGAAACTTTCTTTCCTCAAGTTCTCTTTTTTAAAAAAGGGGAAAAAAGAATGCCCAATGCAGCTTCTTCAGGATAGTTCATGCTGCGTGCCTGTGTGACTGAGTTGAGCAAGGAGTCAAGAGAGGTCTATAAAATGTCAGATTGCTTACCAAAGCAGCAAAAGCCCAGCCTGTCTTGTTATAGAGAAAATCTAGGTTGCTTCTTCTTAAATAGACGAGGCCACCAATGACGGCCAGCAGCAGCCCCAACATCAAAGGTCCGGCATAGTTTGGTGGTCTTATCACTCGGATCTGTGAGAAAGACAGTTTGCAATTGTCATTTCGAATCTACTTACCCTGAGAGTCATTATTTCACTGCCACCAATGGGATGTAACTTTTCAGCACTGGGGTCATTAAAATGCCACCTGACTTGGATGTCTCCCACATGGCTTCTAAAATGTTTGCATGATTTATGGAAAGGGAGCACATCAAATTCTTACACGGGGGGAGGGGTTGGGGGGCTCAGTCAGGTATAGCATGGGATGACTAATCCACAACATAAAGAACATTTTAAAACAAAGATTATGTCATGCTTTGTTTATTAATATGTGTCTTTGTACCTTTTGAAGGACAGGACAGAAATAATTAAATGGAGTAATAAATAGTATAATTCCAATAATGAAAATAGCTGCTGCTTATTTCACTGCTCTCCTACTGTGATGATGGAGGAGAATCTGTACAAAGCAGGTTCCCAGCAGTGTCTTCAGATCAATTTTCCACCAAAGAAAAAGTTATACTAAGAAAGGTAATAAAAAGTATTAGAAATGATCCACAGAGAAAAATGCGGATTAACTTCTAAAGTTAGATATTCAAGCTACTTTTGTGTTTTAATTACTATTACAATAAGTAACTTGATTATTAAAATATAGCCAAGCAATTTTACAAAAAATGTTCATTCAAAAAGCAAATATTCTCAGGAAGTTGAATAATAAATAAGTGGGATGAGCACTGAATTGCACCACTGCACATTCTAGCACAATCCTGAGTTGTAAGACAAATGCTAAACCCATAATAAAAAGCTCATTTTTATAAAACTTGCCGTGATAGCTTTGACATCAAGTGAGTACATCAGAAAACTAGCAAACTCCAGAAGTGTTGGTTTTTTTTTTTTAAGTATCTGATCCCTCAACCACCCTACATTTCCAGTTTGGGAATTAACAAAACTAATTGTTTTCATGAAAAAATGAACCATACGGGTTCATATATCCAGTTAGAGACCAAGAGTGTCAAACTCAAAGCCCGCAGGCTGGATCTGGCAAATTGTGGTTTACAATTTGTTCTAATCTGTCCAAATTGTGGTCCTAATAATCCACACAAGACACAGTGTTTTTTGCTTAGTTTTGGCATCATGCTAAATCCAGCAGTAAGACAGAAGTTGGTTCTACTTTGGACCAACATTAAAGCAGCTCGGTCTCTTTGAAAAGCAGTCCTACTCTCTGAAGCCGAAGGAGATGCCCAGAGTTCAGCTGTGGTCCCCCAAAGCAACAATGGGATAAGATACCGTCTCCTTGGGCAGTCAAGAGTTAAAAGCATTACATCAGAGGCAAAATCTAGTGTTTACTCACGTTCACATCTGTTCGATCAGCCACCCAGCGGGCAAGCTGTTCAGCAGCAAAACCTCGTACTTGCAGCTCATAAGTGTCTCCTCTTTTGGGCTTCCCTTTTGGTGGGAAATTAATGAAGGTTGGAGCAGAATTCATGTTGAGCTTTATTTTTCAGCAAAATATACAAAAATATGTAATTGAAAACTTAGTCTCTAATGCCAAAGTTTAAATCCATGCTGTCAGAAGAACCCAGATTCTCAGCTTATGGGAACAATATTTACTTTACAACTGATAACGTTAGCTCCTCTGCCATTAGGCTAAATAGGTAGTCCATTTAAACCATTCACTTAGTGACCCTTCCAAGTTACAACTGAAAAAACTGACGACGGGTCTTCGTGCTTATGACCAACGCAGCCTCTCCGTGGTCACGTGGTCAAAATTGGAGTGCTTAGCAAGAAGCAGGTATTTGCGACAGCTGCAGTGTCTTGGGACTATGTGATTTTTGACGCCTTCGCAGCATGGCTCAGCGACAAGCAAAGTCAACAGGGGAAGCCATATTCTTTTAACAACAATGGCAAAAAAAAAGGTTTAAAATTGGGCTTGACTCACT